AACTAGAGCTTTTTGAAAATAATTTCGTTTTAACTTTGACATCTCAACTGTGATCAATATAGTTAATTTTTCACCAGCAATAACATTGGGCAGAAATGAGAAAACCATGAACTAGGACAAATTGTCTTGTCTGTGTACCACCAAATCTGTGAATTGTCTCATTGTTAAAGCTATGTTATCATTACATATCTCATAATTTCTTATCAACTGTTCACTCCTACAAGGGCCGTATTGCAGTAGGGTCTGATGCAGATGTGATCGTTTGGGACCCTGAAGCCACTCGGGTGATATCTGCCAAGACCCATCATCAGGTAAGTAATACAACGGTACATTTAGCACCACTTTCACATTAACCTAGTATTTACATGTAAGCTACCTTACGGTGATTTTCAAGAAGTAGATAGATTTATGGAGAAATCTATCTGGTAACATTTTTTTTTTTTTTTCGAAAAGTGAATAATTGTCCAACTTGGATGTTTGGAGAATAATTGTATGGTATTTGCTGGAGACAATACCAGAACGTTATTCGCTTGGGCCAGGTTGTTCTAAAGCTGGTTGACGCTTACCCAAGATTAAAAGTCAAAGTATTTTTCTTGTATAAAAGTGTTTTGAACTGCTTATGTTTTTTGTAGTTTGAGATTAGCCAAACTGTAAAGCGAAGGGCAAACAATATTAACAGAACACCTCACCGAAAAGTTAAAAAGCTGGAATATAAACTATTGCTAGTTTAATCGGGCTTTGAACAACCCGGCCCCGTTCTGTAAGCTACAAACGAACGTGTAGTTTTGAACTGAAAATGCTGGTATCTTCAGCTACAGTAGACCCAGAAATCACATTTACAGTGAACATCTCATTTGCTCTCAACACTGTTACTGGTACCAGCTTAACTAACGTTATACACGTCTTTTATTGCACGTCCAGGCGGTAGATTTCAACATCTTTGAGGGAATGGAGTGCCACGGGGTAACAGAGGTCACCATATGTCAGGGGAAAGTAGTTTATGAACGTGGAGAGGTAAGTATAGGTCTTCATAACAGAGTAAACGTCAATGCAGCGAGTCCTGAAGAATAAACCTCGGCTCTACATGTATTTTTTGGGTTTTTTTCATTTGTTGTTTTGATTGGTCATTTTCATTGATTCTTTATATCGTCTCTTCCTATCTCCTTCATTTCCTTTCCCTCCCCTCTCTCAATTCTTCTCCACCCCCCTTCCTTATTCGTTGGCTCTTTATCTATTTTCTTCCTATTTCCTGCCTTTTCTTTCTGTTCCTCCCTCTCTCGCTCTCACTGCATCTCCCCCCCC